AAGTTACTTCCTCTCCAAAAAAAAAAAAAAAAATTCTCTAAGATCCTATGCTGTGACCAGTGTGGCTTTTGGGAAATGTGAAATCTTATTACTTCCATATCTGATTCCTCATTGATTTTTAAAATGAACTCCCCCTTTGCTTTTCCATGTGGCAGACACAATGTCAGTGCTAGAAGAGAAACAATTTTGGTTAGTATTCAGATTAAGCTAGGAGAGAATTCTATGAGATTAACACATAGTTGTATTACAACTATGATGCATGAAGACATTCCCAGGTTTAAAATGAGGATAGCATGATGTCAAATTGAAATATTTTGTAAATACATGTGTCTTAGAATTGGGTTTATCCTCTCTCCTCATATTCTGTCTCTGACTGATATCAATCTTGTAAAAAGAAAAATGGTTATATATTTATGTAATATGCCTATCTATAGTGCTAGCACTAAGGAAAATATCATAGGGAGGTACAAGAGTCTCTTAGCATCCTGTGATCCATAGGGAAGCCCTGTGTCTAAAATGAAAAACAAACAATGCCCTACAATAAATAGGTGGATTTTGTAGCCAACTATGTATGGAGGAACAAAACAAAATGAATTTTATAAGATATAAAAATATCTTAGTGTCAGCTTTCTTAAACTTGGAATTAAGCATGAATGTTCCACAGATTGCTGGCAGTTCACATGAAAGCTGTCTATTTCCTCCATGCTTCTCCACTTTCCTGAAGTTATTACAAATGTCACCTGTACTTTTGCATGGGTTTTCAAAGGTTGGCTTCACTGAGCTGGTCATGTGGGTAACCTTGATAATCCAAACCCGAATTCTTCTGGCTAATACTTTTGTTATTATAGCTGTATTTAATAAGCTCCAGAAAAATCCAAAAATGTGTATTATAAAGAATGGTAGGGGGTTAAGCAAGAAGGGCTACATGATCCTGAAAATGGCTGTGTTGTGTTCATCATGAGTATATCACTGCTCCTAGAAAGAATGCTTTAAAAAAAAAAACACGGATTAAGGGGCATGGCTAGTTTTTAGACCATCCTCTAAAATCAGGGGCTATGTACTTGTGAGGAATGCAAAGTTTTTTTTTTTAATTTTCATTAAATTAGAGGACAATTAGTTGTCTTACTTCAGGAAAAAAACCAGCTTTCTTTCTTTTTCTTCTTCCATTGGAATTCTCTTTTCAGGTGTGAAAAAATAACACAAGTAAATGTTACCTTATTTCTGCATTCAGACAAAATATTATTGCAAGAGGAACTGTTACCATGTAACTGGGTTACATTAAGTAATTGGTAAATGTGAATTAAATGTATGAAAGAACATTATGTGACTTATTTGTTATATGGTTATTTAAATTTACAACTGAATAGTGAAAATATTAAGACACCTTGAACTCAGTCAATTTCTCCAAAGCATTCCCTGATACTTTTCTTGGACTCTGGTTGATGTGCTTTTCTACCTAGGACAGAGCCACAGTTGGTAAACTTGCTCATCACTCTGAGAGGCAAAAGAATGAAGCATCAGAAATAATCTTTCACAGAATATTTTAGAACACATACCCTTACCATTTCAATCTTTCTAGCATTGAAATAGTTGGGCTCAACACAGATTATGTTTGTTCTAATGGCTGACAAAGGTTTTCAGTCTATGGGCTGTTTCTTTTTCATGGAGTCTAGAGCTCTTGATATATATTATGATCTAAGTGAGCATTGGATAATTAATCACATTCACACTCCATCTCTAAGCAAGAGAAGTACTACTTTGGGATCTTTGACATCTGCTTTTCCAGACTCTGTGTGGAATATTGAGCTTTGCCTTGACAAGTCTGTTCACACAGCCATGTGTTCAGAGCTACAAACTGAAAGGCCTTATAAACTCAAGGTATGTGTATTACCAAGTCATTATTGCTGCCTGGGGTTGCAGCCTCCAGCAGCAGCAGCAGCAGCAGCAGCAGCAGCAGCAGCAGCAGCAGCAGAAGCAGAAGCAGCATCTCAGGCCTCCCACAGAATTGGCATACTAGACTTTACTATCTGAGGATGTTAGGGAAAACAACACTCAAACTGTCTTTGATTTTTTTCTTTATTTTTCTGCACTGCTTTACTATATACTTTTTCTCTATAACTCATATAACCCAGAAAAGTTTTTTCAAGCAATATAAGAATTGCAATGTGGTTATATTAAATTTTTTAACTAAATTATTATACTGAATACGGGTTGAAAACATGTTTCATCTCTTTTACATGATTAAAACAAAGGCATATAACATATATACATTTATATTTAAGCAACTTGTTACAGATTAACATACTATGAGCAAGCAGAGGGTATTATTTTTCTCAGCCAACGCTTTTGTCAGTGGGCTATATAATGTGGTTACAAAGATTAATGGTAATCTTTTCAAGGAATCTCCAAGGTATCATAAACCTAAACATTACACATAAAGTAACAATCAGTCAACTCTACTTCACATCTTTAGGACACACACCTACCCATCAATTGTTTCTTATATCAGGAAATTGAGAAGGGCAGGAACTTCAATTGCCACCTTCTGCCCTTCTGACATGGCCACTGGCAAGTAATCATCATTAAAACAGAGAATTTTTCTGTCTAGTGAAATAGTAAATTATAGTTAGTACACTATTACTGTGCTACAAATTTCTGTCCACATAAAATTTAAGCAAGAATTCAAGAAAACTGTTCCACATAAACTAATATCATGTCTTAAAAATCTTCCATTCCAAAAAGGGGATGTATGTAGCAAAATATGAGTTTCAAATTTATCATGGTAAAGTACCTTCTATTTGTGTTTATATGAACATTGAACATTAAAAACAAAATTAGATTTTAACTCAATCAAATTAACTTGGAAGAAACTTATTTTTTGAGACATGGATTATCTGTGTAATATTGGCTGCCCTGGAATTCACTCTGTACACCAGGTTTTCTTTGAAATCATAGAGATCTGCTTGTCTGCCTCCCGAGTGCTGGAATTAAAGGCATGTGCCACCAATGCACTAGCTATTCTCTCTCTTTTTTAAACCACTTTATCCTGTTTCTTTTTCTCCCCAAGCCTATGTATATTTTAAGACACACTGTAAACCTGTAGAGGTCTTTCTTAATCTGAATCTATCTTTACTGTAAATCTTTATCTTTTTCTGGTCACATGTCTTTTATTTGCTAAACAACATTAGTCAAATTAGCCATAGATGTATCAGCCACAGTTTATCAAACATGGCAGGTGGTATGTTTACCGCCAGCACTGAGAACTATGCTCCCCACCTTGGACTAAGCTGTCATCAAGCTGCATGCTGCTGGATTGGAGATGTGGTCACTGCCAGCTGTCTTACACACCTTTAAATTGTTAACAGGGTTTGCTGCTTAATGCTGAGTCAGGAAACTTCCCTTGAAGGAGCCACACAAATCTCTGCTTGTCTCTAGCAAAACAGAGTCCCACCAAGAAAAATGCTGCTGCCAAGAAACCTTGTTTGTCTCTGTTCTATTGTTTGTAAAATCCCTTTTTAAGTTTTTGTTAAGTTTTAAATGGAAGTTTTTAGTACCCACATTGCAGGCACCATTTTGTTAAGAGCAGTTTTCCTGCCAGCCTAGTCCCACAGCCTAGACAGCCCCAAATAACTCAACAAAAACACTGTAGTAGCTATAAAGCTATTGGCCAGTTGCTAGCATTTCTTGTTGGCTAGTGCTGTCTTAGATATTAACCCATTTTTATTAATCTAAGTATTTTCCCATGGTCTTGGCTTACCAGAGAAAGGGTCTGGACCTTTTAGTCCACCTGGACCTACATTTTGACTCTCCTCCTACCTCTCCCCAATCCTCCTTTTCTCCTAGTGCAGCTTATCTTGTTTTCCTATTGGCCAGCATTATTCATTAACTTTATTCATTAAGCTTTATTCTTTAACCAATACAAGAAATATATTTATAGAATGACATCTCCTATCAAGGCATTGCTAGCACTGGTAGTTAACTTTTTGATAATGTTAGTTACTGCCTCCAATTAGTAGCTGTTACATATAAAGGCAATGAAGAAGTACAGAGAAATGGTTATAAAATAAAGCACACTATTACACAATTATTACATAGTCTTCACTCCTTCTATACAGGCTAAACTTATTTTCAGGTAGTGAGGACTCTAGTGGGAGTCATGTGAGGAGGATTCAGAGTGCTTGTGAGAACACTTCAGATAAACAAGACAATAGTCTTATGATTTCAGTTTCTTCAAAACAGGGTGTTGTTCTTGCATTGCTTTTTTCTGCTTCTCCCAGGTGTAGAGGATAGAAGTGAAATCAGTTCAGGTTATTCAATATTGGTTGCTGTTTTATTCAGATGAATTTTTATGCCTCTATTGAAAAATGTGGTTTTGCCTCATGTGCCTTGTCCTTGTCAGTGTATACAGATTGAACTCATGAAGACTTTACTTATGTGACTTTGGACAGGCTCTAGGTGGATTGGATATAAATGAAGAGAGAGAAGAGGGGGAGGACACTTTCAAAGGCAGTGACATCTGGAATAGTAAAAAGTGAGCATGCACCTCACCTGGGCTATGAAAGAGGGTGGTGGAGAGAATGGACTGTAGTGAAGATAGATGGAGAGGGAAGGTGTTCATCTATTGAATAAAATGTGCTAAATAAAGCTGATCTTCAGAGTGGGATGAGTGGAGCATGGTTGCAGCAGCAGCCATCTGTGCAAGCTCCCAGCTCACTGAGGTCTAGCAGGAAGCTCTTGCAGTAAGCTCCTGGAGCTGTGTAGCTAGGAAAGCCATGGTGGGCCTGCGGGAGAAGAGGTCATTACCCAAGCCCATCACCAAGTGCAGAGAGCTAGTAAGGGAAAACTCACCAATAAGCTCCTGTTGGATGAAGAGAAGAGGTTCAGAAAGTGCAAAAATTGGAACAGCAATCATGTAAATCAATCCCATGTTCTGAGACATAGCACCAAATGAAAGGGTCCCAGCATTGGGACAAGAACACAGAGAGACACCAAATTGTCGACACAAAGGAAATTTTATTTACCCTGTTGGGGACAAGTGGGGATCTTCCTCTGGATCAGGTAAAGACAGCAGCATATGTTTCTGTAGAAGTGTTTTTTTAAAAGAAAAGAGGAAAGTTTAAGTTAGGATCTTTCTTTCTCTTCTTTTCCCTGCCTCTTTCTGTCTGTCTCTCTTTGTAGCTCTGAGTAGTTCCAAGTATTGTTTCTACAAACACACATCTTTAATAATTACTAAAACTATGTCTATTGTCCTCTTGTATGCACATACATACCTTAGCATAGACATGCATACAGATATACATATATGTGCACACACACACACACACACAGCATAAGAAGGAGAGAAGAGGTGGAGAGGGAGGAAGGATATGAAGGGGGGAACAATATAAATACTAGCCAATATTTTCATAAATGCCTAAAATTTCTCCTATAATTTAAAGTAAAGGAATATCTTCTTTACAGAGGAACAAAAAACGTATATGCTGAGCATTTTCTAATTCTCATGGCTGTATGAAATTGGGTTTTCATGGCATTGTAATACATGAAAATCCAAATAATAATTGCAAGGACTCTTGTATTGCTTTGTAATTGTATTCTTGTCAACAAAACAGTTTGAAGAAATAGAGCACTTTAAAAATAAAAAAAGAAAAAATACTCTAACCAAATTCTTATGAACATATTAGAGAAAAGTGAAATGGAGTTACTACTGCAGGCATATAAGGCAAAGTGTAATGACCTATAGTGTAACAGGCAAAGAAAAATAATTCTAAAGCTTTAAGGTCACCTCATGATAGCATGCATGTTCAAATTACAATCATACAGACCAGTATATACATAGATAAAAATATAAAAGCTTATGGTTTAAAAACAAATCAAACATTAAATAAATAGTATAATTGAGATGATAATAAAGAGAGGGTACTGTACAAATAAATCATTTAAAGTCATTTTAGTTATTTTGTGAAATTCTATCTTCTTTGTATTCCTGTATACTATATTTATCGTTACATATAGAAGTTATAACATTAAGACAAAGTGTTCCTCCAATATATTATATCTCACTTACTGGGCTCATTAGGTAGGAGAGAGTCAGAGAGAGTCAGAGATTGAGGGAGAGAGACGGAGAGAGAGAGAGAGAGAGAGAGAGAGAGAGAGAGAGAGGAGAAGACATTAGAACAGGGAGGTAGTAATCAGGTTCATTTGAGAGCATTTAGGAGCATTAGGGAGTTTGGAGTAGATGTGATCAAAATTCATTGTATAATTGTATTAAACTACCAAATAATAAACATAAAAATAATGAAATTACAAGAATTACCATCTATGTATAGGAAAAATTAATAGTGACCTATGAAGAATACTAAAAAATTTATTAAGCACAAGAAAATCAAGAAGAAAAGTACTATGATTTACAAAAGCTAAAATTGTTCTAAATTTGCCTAAAGACATAACATTATGTATTAAAGTTAAGTACACTGAAATATAGAAGCATTTCAAAGAGTTCCCAAAATTGTGATAGCCAAAATACAAAAAGAAAATAATGCAGACTGATCAAAAAAGTAGAAGTTGTCATTTGTTGAGAATCACAGTTGCCTACTCATGGGAAATGAGAAGCACAAAGGAATGTGTATGCTAACAATGTATGAAAAACTTAGAGCAATGTTGGTTCACTGAGAATATTCCACTATCTCAGGAATAATGAGGAATAATGGAGAAATAACTCTTTTCCACATGAAAACAAATTGAAGAGTTAGCAGCTACCAATCATCTGCCGTACACAAAATTGTATGGAAAGGATTCTACTATAAAAATTGTACATTATAAATGTTTTTTAAGAAATTCAATATTAAATAAATCTTTGTTTTAAGATGATGTTTTTTTGAACAATGCTGCACACAATGTGTTTGACTCAGATGAAACAGAGCAGGCAGTGTCTGTATAGGTTCCCACTGGAAACAAATCTGGTAGGCAAAACAGGGGAAAGCAATTTTATGTCCTATAGTATTTGCCAGAAAACACTTTACATATGTCATATGTCTTTCTTCAGCGTCAAGTTATTGTGCAAGACAAAAAGAGGAGATAAACCTAAAATATCATAACACCAACATCTCTGTGAAATAATGGATGATCAAAGGGTGAGCGTTGCATCATATTGACACTAATTATGTTTTATACCCAGTAGCATTTTAAAAGGTAAGAAACACCTGGGTTGAAGCAGTGATAGTCTCTGCTCAATTTGATCTGGTGTTCTGCTGAAAGGAAAAATGCTTTCAATATACTGAATCTGACATAATAGCTAAATGAAATGGCTAACTGCCAGTGAAGCCAGTAGTAGAAAAAGACCAACATTTGAATAAGAATTAGAAGAGTAGGCTTTTATGGTTTGGGGTAAAATTTCATGTTAGAACAATTGTCTGGCGTGTATGAAGTTTTTTGTTTGATTTTACACACACACAAATATACACATCAATGTTAAAATTATAAAGGTGATTAATAAGCAATGGTTATATGAAAATATGTGCATGCTTATGCCTAGGAAATCTTCAGGAAGAGGATACAGAGCCATGGTTATGTAGCTGATCATTAGCTGTCTTATACTTCCCTGCACACTTATCATTGTTTGAATAAACAAAATAATTTATCTTAGCATGAAATACTTTCTTTGCAAATGAAATTCTACAACATTCATAATCATTTACTAGGAACTACTCGTTTTAAGTTTAGAGACTGTAGCTAACTCAACTTACTCTTCCTTCATATTATCTAGTAATTTTCACATGCAGAAGGGCATATTGCAGGCATGACAAACATATGAACATTTTCCATACAGTACTGCTTCAAATCTCAATCTCTCCTCTTCTCCCCCTTCCTCTTCTTTTGCCTTGCCCCTATACCTTACTGCTCTTCATTTTCCCTTTCTTATGCATCTTGCCCACCTTGCTTCCCCAGTAACTCCAAATATCTGTCTTGTTCTTACATGCACATGCACTGGTTGAGTATGGGATGTCCTTGGTGTTTATCTGCAGTGCAATATTCTTTCTCTCAGCAATCTCCTTGGCTTCATTAATGTATCTGCTCAAAAGCAACAGAGACACAAAGTGCAGTAAAGTGAAGTATCTAGTAGCTTATTTTTCAAGTGAAACATTCTTAGTGTTTCTATGACTGTTGTGTTGTGCATACAAAAGTATGAATTCAATTATGAAATGTGGATTGAGAAATATGTGAAAATATTTCATCAAAAGGACCGAGTTTGGAAGAGAGCAGATTTCTGTGAAATTTGTGTTTAGGAAGCAAACCTTTATGGCAAAATTTGGCCTTCATGGAGAAGACCAAAAACTTTCTTGATTTCTAGGGTAGGAAGCAACAGGTACTATGAGTGTAGTGTAGTGTACTATGGTAGAATAATCTCTACTGACGAGAATTTAATGGGCATGTGTGTGTGAAGAGAACTGTTAACTCTAGTATGTAGGTTGGAGAAAAGGAAAGGATAATCATGGAAACCAGAACTTCCTCAAAAGTGAACAAGATATGCATTTTAACTAGAGAGCATGTGGCAGCAGCAAGAGAACATCTAGTCAGCAGTACAGGGAGATATTCGGATAATTCTGTTAGGGGCTATCACTCTGAAGTCATTGGATTGCAGAAGCTGCCATTCTTTTATCATCAAAGAATTAAAATATGAACACTGAAAAATACCTTTGGATGTAAAAGTGCCACTGTTCTTTCTGCTCACGGGAACTGTAAAGTAATAAGTGAAAAAAAATTAGACTGTAGGCAACTTTTAGGCTGAGAGTTTTGAGATTATCAGTCACAAAAAATATTAAATACCAGTTGTTACCAATTGCTCAATTGTAAGTTGCATCCTTTGTACAACTGGGTTCTGATTTACCTGTTCTTTCACTGGTTACCTTACATGACAGGAAGTTCATGAGAGTCGATGTTGGTTGTGAATTTAAAGATTTCACTGCAATTATGTGACAGGAGCAGTGTGATCTTGGCTAAGCCAAACATTGATTTAGGCTTTAGTTTGGTGTGTATGAAGGGGTAATTAATGTCTGAACACTGAGGTTGGGTTTATATAGAATGATGCCATTATTTACAATAAATCACATGTAAAACAACGCTCCTTTGAATAGAGCATAGTTACCTCTTAAGGGAGACAAGTGAGAAGCAGAATCATGATTTATTTTCTTAACACAAGTTACAGAATTGAAATATGAGACATTAGTTCCTACAGAATCATCTCTTCATGATCAATTCATTTGGTGCTAATTCCTAATAAACCCTCTACTGTTCTACTGCAGCATTTAAAATTTTAATTAAAAATGCCTAATAAATAAATGTACCACTTACTAACATTTTTGAAACTTTATTAAATTACATGTATTATGTTTTCAGTGGCATTGGTTATATTCACACTATCATATAATCATCAATGCTCTTTGATTGAAGCATGTTTTTCTTATTCAAAGAGAAAACCCTACTGTATTCACTATTTTCCTTATTCTCCATGTTGACACCACTGGGACATGTTTTGTTTAATATTTGAGATGTTTTCACTTTCTTAAAATTATGATTCATGTTTCTAAGAACATTCATGCACAGATCTTTCATCCCCCCCCATTTTCCATGGTTCTACACTCATGATTGGGGCTGAAGAAGCACATGGAAATACTTTAAAACTACCTGTGGTATCATAGATAGCTTCTTCCTCAAGGACTGGCACAATTCTTGTTTCTACCTTTAGCTGTTCCTATAATTCCCACCTTCATTCTGTTTGCAACCAGCTCTATCAGAACTGTTGGCAATGCCAATGGCCACATCCTGCATGTGGGCATGGATAGCACATCTAATAACACCAAGTTACAAAAGTGATGTAAGCAGAAACCTCAGTGGAATTTGGTGATATACATAACTGAAAATGCCTAGGACTTATTTAATTGAATGTCAACAATTCTAAATTTTGAAAGAATTGTTTCATGGAAATGTTCACAAGAAATTTATCACACATCCTTTTCTAAAATTACTTCCTCTCATATGCACCCTGTGATGACAAATACCAATAATTGTTAATCTCTAATGAATCAACCAACAGATTGAAAAGAAGATTCAAAGAGAATGACACAACCATGGACTCTTCTCCCAAAATACTGTGTAAATGGAGTTTCTATGTCATCTGCAAGAATCTAGAAAATGCTCTAACATGATGAGTCTATGCTAGCTAATTTAGCTCTGTGGTAATGCTGAAGGGATTGGTGGAGGAATAAGGAGAGGCATTAACATGAACTCTTCATGTAGAAAACAAGTAGGAATGTCTGTATGTGCTGGAACATGTAGTCAAGAATAGCAATGTAGTCATTTTGAATCTAATATATTTACTCAGCAGATCCTGTGTCCAGAGCCAGTGTCCCTTTCATAATGCCACCAAAGACAGCATGCAGGAAAATTCCCCTGCACAGCACAAACCAGCCCTGATCTTGTCTGTTGATATCAGGTCTCACATGCTTACTGTAGAACCAAACCTGGTAAATTGCTACAGAGATGTGCAAGAGTCTGAGCATTCAGCGAATTATTATTTGCATATTCAACACTATTCTTTAGAAAATCCACTTGGGAATAAAAGTCTATTAGTGAAACTAAATTAGACTACCTAATATCACTGGGAAAAAAATGAATTCATGGAGATTTAAAGCTCAGATAATAGTAGACAATCATATAGAGGAGATTATAGATAGTGGCAAATTCTTGCATAACTGTACACAACTTTTGCAGACCTTAAACAGTCCCCACTTCCACACCAAGTGGCTTATGGGACTGTGCTGTAAACCCAATGATAAAAATAAAAGGAACCACTTTCAGTCAGTGCCAGTATTGATCCATTTACATACATTAAAAAGTAGAAAGCTGTGTGGTTGAAAATAAATGATAAGCAAGCATCAACACATGACAGGAAAACAAGTCAACAGCCTATGTGCAGTCAAATTAAAATGATCCTAATCTTTGAAATTTCCGAGAAATCTTTATTTTCATTCTATGCTAGATAGTATGAATTTGACACTGGATTTCCACAGTTGTAGCTTGTAAATGCATGTTAAAGCTTACCGAAAGGTGGCCACAAAATTTTTCATGGGCCAGAACAGGACAATGGACTTGCTGCCAGCAGTGCTGTCTGTCCCCGCTAAGTCCACATAGTCACCTATCCACAGGTAACTCAGTGGGATGACGTATTTTACCTTAAACTTCTTCTTATGCCTAGGGAGAGAATCAAACAACTTTGTTAGTTTGCTTTTCAATGTGGTTGGAATCATTCTCGGAGAAACCCTGTCTTTCCTTCCACAGAGCAAGGCGGACTCATCCATCTCTAATATCCAAGCACAGCTCAATAAAGCTTGTGCTGAGGGAAGCTTTTACCACATCCAAACTAAATAAACCTTTTCACCTACCCCCCAAATTCAGAGATTATAGTATTTTATGGCTTTATAGTGATTAATATTACTGTACTATTTTTTAAAAATAAAAATGTAGACTCCACATGAATCAGTCTAGAAGATTTTTATTACACAGCGAAGGTCTAAGATTTCCTCCTTCCTTAAAAAACACACCAGGAAAGTTCCATAAATTCCAGGAGCAGATGCTCTATTTCAAAATACTCCTAAGCAGCAGCCAAATGCTAAGAAACAATTCAAATATTCTAGGGATGTTATTTTCAGTGTTCCTTTCATAATTGCATCAACTAATATGTCCTAAACCTACATTGCAGTTGAGCAGTTCTCAAAGTGGTTAATAGACTAAAGCAATAGATTCTGGATTGCAACTGTGGCAGCCAAATAGAAAACCACAGCTGAGTCCTATGGCTGTCATTTCCTTCCACAGTTTCTACTGGCAAGAACTCTTGTGGAGTAATTCTTTCCTTTTTCTCTATTGGTCTCTCTTTCCCTACCAGAGCTGTCATCTTTTATAATGGCTTTGTTCTTTGAGAGCGAAAAGACGGATTTCATGATTTTGCTACCAGTAGAGTATCATACTACATTTATGTCCATACAAGGTACATTTATATTTAGATACATATATCAAGAGGATCCCTGTCAGTCATGCTTAAACATGTTTAACTTTGAGGAGCAAAGCATCTCCATGTAGGTAATAAATTCTTGAAACTTGTAATCTTTCTCAATCAGCCATCATGGCATGTTTCACCATTTCTGGTTCTCTTTCGTCATTCATGATCCTGTTTTCTTCAGGAGTGGACAGCAGAAGAAACCTTTCACCAATTCTTTCTAATAAGTGGGGACAAATTACTTAGCAAAATAAAAGAGAAACTTTTGTATTTTGGAGCAGTAAGCACTATTGAACAGGCAGTCTTTCCTAATGAGAAAATGATTGCATAAGTACTTACACATTGTTAGACACGATCAAAACATCATTGAACAAGAAGAGATGGCGTTGCTTCTTTCTCCAGCCTTTTCTCAGCTCCACGGGAACTTGGAGTGGCAGGGCTTGGTATCTGCCTTCTGATGGAGTGGCTTTCTCATTGATGGATTCCATCTCAGGAGAAAGGCGTTCCCAGGTATATATCAAAAACTAACAGAACAGACATCAGTGGTTAATTGATAGGATATAATTTTATACTAAATTTAAAGTGTGATATGTAATTAAAAATAGCCCTAACTGCTAGAGCAGGTCTCCACTAGTGTGTGTGTGTGTGTATGTTTGTGTGTGTGTGTGTGTGTGTGTGTGTGTGTGTTATGTGAGAGAGAGAGGGACACAGAGAGAGAGAGAGATGTATATTGGATGGGAGTAAATAAAAATAGAATAAAATGGGACCTATGTATAAAAGTACCACAATGAAACCCATTACTTAGAACCTTCCTATGTTTTAAATGACCAAACCTAATGAAGGTGATACAGTAAAGTGTGACGTCTTTAAACTGTATGGTTTTTTTTATTGATCTGGGGTATTTAAATTAATGAAAGTGACAACACTCTACTAAATTTAAATTTTTACATAAAGATTGCCTTGGAATTAATTCTGGTTTAAATTGTCAGCTATGTTGAATAGGGTTGGATAGCAAAATAAAATAAGTTCTGTGAATCTGTATGATAAAATCATTACTTTGTATACTATCTTAAATAGGTTTAAAGAAAATAAAAGCATCATTTTCTGATGATTCTTTTCAAATTTGTGTCTTTAAAATTAATATTTACATGAGCAAATGTTTACTCTGCCCAGCCACATACTACAAATTTCAAAGGAAATGTTCATTGATGCAGTAATTTTTATCAATAAGTAATGAATAACCAGTGAAAATAAAAGGTAAAGAAGGATGATATGACATTAGTTTTCTGTACACATGTAAAATATTGATAATGTGACTGAAATAGTTCTAATTTCATTTCATGTAATATGACAACAGATATAATAAGTAAGGATTACTGGAAGTTCAAATATATCTTAGGTAAAACAATTATATATTTTGGAAATAAATATTAAGAAATATCGAAATGTTGCTGAAAACAAAATAATTTTTATTATTATTTTTGAAATCGGTCATCTTTTCAATGAGGGTCTATTGTCACAATAGGTAAAACTACTAGATCCAGCAGAACATAAAATCTTTCTCATAACTCAGGTTATTTCCTAGATATTTATCTGCCATATAGCCCTGAGCATGTGTTCCCTGACAATAAATAGTCTGCTGTCTTGAGGGGAACAACACTAAACATGATCAACAGGAGGGACATTTCAAGAGGCTAGTGATGATGTTACGAATTAGTAAATATGATATGGATGAAACAAATAAAAACACTTTCTAAAACTACCAGTTTCTCTAGAGATTGAAAAATAAGCAATAAAAGAATACCTTCACCAAGAATAGTGGAATGAATAGCCTTTCAATGGACTTGAAACTGTTTCTGCCTTGGGACGAAATACCAAAGATGGCTACAGCAGTTGGAAGACCAACTGCTCAAGTGTGAGATTCTGCTGTAGTCATGGTAACAGATCAAAGTGATGTCATGGTGCTAAGTCTCATGTTGTACCTGAGAAAGTGCCACGTTTATTTCATTACCATTCAAATGCTCAATTTGAGAAAAATATATTTTAGAAAAACTGAGGTTCACAATAGTTATAATGACTAACAGAGACTCTCCCAATATTTATAGTGATTAAAATGAATCCTCAAATTCTAGTTCACTCTCATAATCGAATATCCTATTATATCTTTTGTTGATTCCTGTTATGGTGACTGAAAGGAGAAGCAATGTTGGTCTAAACAATTTGAAATCTAATAAGGGAAGTTTGTTAATATCATAACACAGTAAAATGTAATTGTGGAAGGAAAGTTTGTAAGAGAATATATGTGAAGACAGGAAGATAGGTAGTGATGAGTCCTTATCTCTGAAAATTAATCTTCATGTTAAGCTTGACATGGGACCCAGAAAATCATCCTTAATCCATTCAGACGGCATCATTCCAAAAGTGCCATGATCATTCAACGTGAAATTACTGGGGACTAACCTTCTGTCTCATGAGGCCATTGCGTCAAATCACATTTGCTGATAGACCCAGGATAATAATATTGATACAAGTAAGATGAGGACTTCCCAGCTACTACAAAGATCTTACTATTAATGTTCAGTTAATGGAATTGATATTTATTGTTGACTACCTTTTAGCAGCCATCATATATTTATTAACTCTCCATTTATCTGTCATTGTCTTTTCAAGAACATTTATATTCAGTAACATATGGCATACTCAGCCTTTTTGTATTTTTCAAACAGCATGATTGTCAATCATTTATCATTTGTGGCTCAGTTACAGAGTATTGCATAGATATCATGCCGGTGTAACATATTCTCCTATTGTTTTATTTGTTTAGTAATTTCACTATTGAAGGATTAGTGGTTACCTTCAGTTTGATAATAATATAAATGCAGTTATTAAAATAATTTTTATATAGGGTTTTATTTTTCACATGTCATGAGAGATTATTTTGGAAACGTTATCCCATTCCAGACAAAGACCAGTGTGTACAAGATGATGCATTTTCCCTTATCTATATGTATTACCATTTCATATTTTCACAAACTGATTTGTTTCAGTAGGACAAAGAATGTTAGAGGAAATATCTTAAATGAAGATGGACAGTGAGAAGAGTTCTCAGGGTCAGAAAAAAAGATGGTATCCATTCTGCATTGCCTCTCAACTGTCCTCTTTCAGGGCTGTGAACATTTCAGAAAGTATTGGCAATACCACAATGTACCAGAACTGGGTGACCCAGTTGGTGATCTACCTCATTGCATCCTTCTTGTGCCGGGACATGCAGTCTTTGAGGCGGTATAGTGGCTTAGTTCTTTGCAAGAAGCTGTCTTTTCGAAGTCTGATGCCTAGTCCAGAAAAAAAATTTGCCTTCTTTGCAAGGTGGAGAGGGAGTTCTGAGATAGAAGCTCACAGAAACATCACTTCAACTTGAACAGTTGAAAATGCAAGAGCACTGAGCCCCTCTAAAGCCAGCACCGAGTCCTACTACTGTCCCTACAAGCATCTCCCACCTGAACTTGATCATCCTTTTCTCTGTTCATATGGAGCCCAAGTTTCATTTGGTAGACACCTTGGATCTTCAGGGCAAACAGTTACAGATTGCTCTGCTATAGATAGTTCTGTTTTGGGCAAACCGATTCCAGTTGACACAGTATTGGCAGCCAGGGACCTTACAGCACTACAAGCTTCCCCTGATGGGGATCCCTTGTACATGTGCCACTGGTAAAGGCTGAGATGGCTTCATTGAAGAGCCCTCTAGCAGCTCCAGCATCCTGCTCAAACCCTCCCCCATTCAGCACAGCTTCCTGCAAAGACACCCTAAGCTTCTGTCCTAGAGAAGTGATTCTCAGCCTTCCTAATGTTGTGATCCTTTAATACAGTTCCTCATGTTGTGATGACCCAATCATAAAATTATTTTCTTTGCTACTTCATAGCTGTAATTTTGCTACTCTTACAAATCATAATGTAAATGTCTTTGTTTTCTGATATCTTTGTTGACTTCTGTGAAAGGGTCATTTATTTCCAGAATAAGAATCATTGTCCTAGAGTCCTAAGGCTGGTACTTTAAACAAGGATCCTATTCCAGAGTTTCAGGCGCCTGGAGGGATTAAGTCCTTCTCCAGCCAGGCCAGTGTAGCATGAGTATTTTTGCCTGACAAGTCCTGCAGTCCTTGAGCTCCAAAAAACCACAGAGACACTATATTAATTATGAAACTGTTGGCTGGTAACTAGGGCTTCTTTTTTGCTAGCTCTGTCATAAATATGAACCCATAACTACTAATCTATATATAGCTACATGGTCCTCTCTTACCCTAGAACGAGTCTGGAGCTGTTGCTCCTCTCAGGTCCTACATCATAACTGCTCAGCTTCTTAGCAGAGAAGAGAAGAGCAATTTCCTGTTTTCCCCTGCTTATATTCTGATTCTGCCCAGCTATGTCACTTCCTGCCTGTCTGTACAGACCTCCAGACCTCTGTGATTAGCTAATGGTAGTTTCTGCCCAGCTATGTCACTTCCTGCCTGTCTGTACAGACCTCCAGACCTCTATGATTAGCTAATGGTAGTTTCTGCCCAGCTATGTCACTTCCTGTGATCACATGAATACTGCTCTCTGTCTATATTTTCCAGAATCTTCCTTGTCTGCTACTCCTACCTATCATCCTGCCTGGCCAATCAGTGTTTTATTCATCAACCAATAAGACAAACATATACACAGAAGAACATTTCCCATCAGACTTAAGAACCTTAAGGACAAACATTTTCACACTAGTTGCAGTGCATGCCTCCATAGCTGGTTTTCCTCTTAGCCTAGAGTACTGCACAGAGCAAGACTCAAATTTGCCCTCTAAGACCAAAACTGGTTTCCTACCATCTTATTGAATACTTATTTGAATGTGTGTCATTCACTGCCCACTAGACTTTATATTCCTTCCAGCTCCCAGCTCTGTTTTTCTGGAATCAATAGCCACAAGTTAAATGGCTAGTTTGTGAAGTGTTTTCCAAGGCTTCCCTCTCATTCATTATTAAAGATGCACTCAGTGTTTCTTAGAAATCACTGTTTCCTAAAAAGGTTTCAATTTATACTTCCAAAAAGAGATAATAAAATCAAATTTCATTTTAGTGTCTTTTTTTCTACTTTTATTTCCTCTTTACTTTTCCTAAAATCTTAAGAGTACATATTTGACTGGGTTTGAAATGCATTTTTTTGCCTACACCTGGTTCAATTCCCTTTCCAATGGTACATAATCACTTTTCATCCTGCTGGTGATTATCTCTACACTTTTGCCTGTAGAGCTTCAACGCAGATCTAGGGAATGGGTTTTCATATCAGCACTCATTAGACTCTTTAGTAAATACTGGAGTCTGTCCAGCACTGAGGCAATGGTAAAGTTCATCTATAGTAGATTGTAGAAAAATAGTTTACAATGATGTAACAAAGACAATAATGAAATAAGTCTGTTTTAAGCCATTACCTGATATTTTTTTGGATTGAGCTTTCCTCTCTTTTATAAGACTTCAATTCCAGAAAGGCCAT